GACTACAACTCAGGATCAGGATCAATGTGGAAGTAACAGGAACCACTCAGGAGACAGGAGACAGTTCTTCAATCAGGATAGCTTCCAACCAAGACAGCTCTTAGTTCCTTGCCTGTGCACACAGGCAGCCTCCGCTACTGGGTCCCTATCGGCCTGGCCTCTGCCACTGCTTGGACAAGTGTTAAGCCCTTTAGGTTCACTGACAAGTACCCAGAAGTAATCTGCTCTGCCAGCAAACCTCCTGCCTGAAGGCACTCAAATATCTTGCTCTGTGGGCCGGGAACCCACTGCAGCCATATTGCACTGGTCTCCTGGTTCCTTCCATCTTGTGCCACGGCAGTGCCATCTCTCGCTGCCTTCAGTGTTTGCACTCTCCTGGGTCTAGGAGCTTCGTAGGGGAGGGCCCAGGCCCAAAGGAAGTGCTCCACTCCAGACTCTTGATGGTAGTGAGATCCCCTTAACACCTGTGGGATTAGCCCTTTTATAAGCCTACTCCTCCCACTAGGACCACAAATTGACCCCTCAGTAGGCCACAGACACCTTATTTTCACATTAAATTCTCCAATCACTTGGCAAGATTGTGGCCTGGCAAATCATCTTGACAGAACTACAGACCTAGGGCTAGAAAGGCCACATATATAGAGTAACCTGTTGCACTGCAGGGATCCTAGATACAGTGGAACAAAGTGAACCATTGTGATCTGTAGGGTTTTCATTGGCTGCTTTTCGAACATAGATCACCAAGCTTTTCTTCCTACTATTTTAGTCTGGAAGCTCTGCTGAAACCTGTTAGGCATCATAGCATATAGGCTTCCACTAATAGATGGGTAGTGGCTTCTCATGAGATGCATTGCCAGGAGTTGAACATAGAAGGCCAGAATGCAGCAGGTGGACCACCACTGTCCTCTGAAGAGGCATAGGTAAAGAGATCTGCTCTTGAATCCTTCCCTGTAAAAATAGCTTCCTGGTCAAGTACATTCTGGAGAGCCCTAAGGGTTAGAGATTAGATTCCTTGAAATGTTGGAAACATTGACAACCCTTACATTGTTAGGAGGTTTAATAATCGTTAGGTGAAGCACCTCACCACCTAATTAATTTCTTTTACCTTTGGGGACAAGAGAGCTTAATTATTGATAGTATGGTATATTAAAAATGTGTGAGTTTGAATCCCCACTTCTTTATGGAATCTCTGAGCTTTGTTTTAATCATCTATAACATAGGCCAATAATACCTCGTTTGCAGGGTTGTTGTGAGAAGTAAATTTAGTGACAGTTATGAAGATTGTGTAGTAACTTGAAAAAAAATGCTTATGAACAAATAAAGGATACAGGATTTTACACAGAACTATGAAGATGCATGGGAGCTCTGGTAGCATAGTGTTTAAGACACTTGACTGCTAACTAGAAGGCTGATGGTCCAAACCTATCAGCTACTTCTCGGAAGGAAGGTTGGGCAATGTACTTCCATAGTGATACTGCCTGGGAAACCCAGAGAGGGGTCACTGTGAGTCGGGGCCGACTCGACGGCACATAACAACAACATGAAGATGAATACAGATAAAGATTGGAAGAGAATATACAGTTGGAAGAGAATATATAATTCATAATAATTGATGAGTTGAGATGATGTGATTATAGATAGCTTAAAATTATGTACCCCATACTTTTACAGTGTTATAAATGGAAATATTGAAAGCTGTTAGCATGTTTGATATTCCTTTCTTCAGATAATAGTGTTCAGAAACTTTGCAGTAGTTTTGAATCATTTGATGGGTGAATAAACACAAAGCAATTAGGTGTGATCCCTTCTAAAAATGCTCTCACATTAGTCCTGTCAAAACATGAATTTAATTTCAAACCATTTTTGGAATACTTGATAGGAAGAGTTTTTAAATTTTTGCATTCAAGGGGAAATGATCCTCAGGAGAAAATAACAATGAGCTCATGCAGTGATGGAGAATGTCTGAAATTCTGCAATTCAATAGCGATCCATTTCAGCCTTGCTATCTCAATAGTTTAAAACAACAACAAACCGGTTGCCATCAAGGCAATTCTGACCCCTTTGTTAAAGTGTCAAAATGAGTTCCATAGGCTTTTCAATAGCAGTAATCTTTACAGAAGGAGCCCTGGTAGTGCAATGGTTAAGTGCTTGCCTGTTAACTAAAAGATCAGTGGTTCAAACCCACCTCTCTATGGGAGAAGAGACGTGGTGATCTGCTCCTGTAAAGATGAAAGCCTAGGAAACCCTATGGGGCAGTTCTGTTCTGTCACATAAGGTCACTATGGTTCAGAATCAACCTGATGGCACACAGTAACAAGTCTTTACAGAAGCAGATCTCCAGGCTTGTTTTCTGTGGTGCCTCTGGGTGCATTCAAACTGCCAACGTATTGGTTAGTATTGTTGTTAGGTGCCGTTGAGTTGGTTTCATCTCATACTGATCCTGTGTACAACAGAATGAAACGCTGCGCAGTCCTGTACTATCGTTTGCATCACTTACGGTGCCTCTCTTTCCCATCTCTTACTCCTTTGGAGTCTTTGACTATGTTAAATACCAAATGTAGGCTAACAGCTGACTGGCCTAACTCTCTCTTTAAATGGGTTGTTGATTTTAAGTACCAGTTGATGATGGGAGGTGTTGGTGGTGGTGATGGTGGATGCTGGACTTTAGAGAGACTTGAGTTTTAAATCTTGACTCTGTCTTTTAGCTGTATAGTCTTAGGCAGGTTACCTTCTCTGATCTCGTTTTCTCCTCTGTGAAGTGGGAATAGTGACATCTTCCTAGGGTTTGTAATGGCACACATGTCCCAATGGCTCAGTGAATATCAGCTGCTTCTGTTCCATGACAGTATCCTGTTGGCAGAAATTGTGTCTGTCTTGTTCATTGTGGATTTCTGGTTTAGAGTAAATGCTCAGTATACATGTTGAAAAGAATGAATGCAATACAGAAAAAAAGGCCATGGTTCATCCTCATTTACTAGACTGTATCATAAGAAATAGACACTGAGTTTACTTTAATACCTTTTTATTGCCTTGTTGATCCTGATGCATGCTTGGTGGGAGTGATATTGATGTTTTTAATATGTGATAGGTCTTGTCAGTTATATGTCAATTTGGATTTCTCTGAAGAAATCAAGAACCAGAAGTCCGATGCCTATATTAATTTGGGCAAGATGTTTCCCTTTTCCTCTTTAAAATGAACAGGCTGGACTTGAACTCTGCTTTTCAATGAAAAAAAAATTATTTTCCTAGTTAGAATTTAATACCAAAGAATGGTTTCAAATACCAAAGGATGTAACTCCTTATTTTAATCTGCAGGTATTTTGGGAGAACTGACTTTATGTCTGTCATTGTAGGTTTACTCCTTTAGACAGAGTTCCTCTTAGATTCTTTTTAAACCTGTGTGCTTGTCCCTCCTTTATACTTAACGGCTGAGAGAGCTGCAAATACCAAATCTTTGTTAACCCCAGATTGCATTCAGTTTCAATTTACTGAATATCCACTGTGTGCCAGACACTGTTTTAGATACATATTGTTACTTCATGCAGCCCTTTCAGAGGAGCCCTGGTGGTACAGTGGTTAAAGCACTTGGCTGCTGTTTTGCTTATCTAGTGCTGCTGTAACAGACATACCACAAATGTATGGCTTTAACAAACAGGGCTTTATCTTTATTCTCTTACAGTTTAGGAGGCTAGAAGTCTGAGTTCATAGTGCCAGCTCTAGTGGCTAGATGAAGGCCCCTTGAGCTTGGGCTTTAGCTGTGCCTCTTGCTCCCAGCCCACTGAAGCTGGAGGCATCTTTTAACTCAGGTAGCTGCTGGCTGCTGAGGCTGACAAACCTAGGGTCAACAAGTGAAATGGCACGGTCCCGAGATTAGCAGACAACATGGCATGTCACATCGCTGGTTCAAGTCCAGGAACAATCCCAAGATCAGCAGACAACGTGGCAGGCTGCTTGCTGAATGAAGTCTTGGCTGCATCGAGGTCCAAGCAGGCCAAAAAGCTCAGAGACCTTTCCAAAGCTGTCGTCTTATATACTGGAAGTAGGCCACATCCCTAAGGCAGCTACTCAGCTGCTCACAGCAGATTCTATTGTGGAGTTGTACCAGTCTCATCATGGGAAATAACTACATCCAGCTGTCCAGCCACTCAAAACCAGGCCCAGCCAAGTTGACACACAACCTTAACTACTAAACTGCTAAGCCAAAAAGGTTGGTGGTTCGAACCCACCAGCTGCTGCATGGGTGAAAGATGAGGCAGTCTGCTTCTACTCTGCCCTATAGGGTCGATATGAGTCGAAATTGACGCGAGTGACAGTGGGTTGGTTAGTTTGTCCTACCCACCCCCCAAGCCCTTTCAGTAGTAGGTACTACAGTTACTGTTATTTATAATTTTCAGATGAGAAAACTGAGGCTTCCTTATTATTTTTACTATATATTTTTTAACATAAGTTTATTAATGCTAGAAAGTTAAGTTACTTGAGTTTTTTGTTTGTTTTGTTTTGTTTTTTGGTCCTGAAACACAAGTTTCTTAGTTATAGACTCTTCCAGATTGAGATTTTTTTTTACTATGTATCTGGGAAAGTTTCTACAGTACGTTCCGGAGTTAGAGATTTCGTGTTAGTACATCAGCTCAACCAGAGGAGAAGTACAGCCAGGTTTGGGTAAATCTCTAATCAAAAGTTCATACAAATTACTAATGTTTTACTGGATTTGTAAGAAGATAGACATAATATTTCTAGAAGAGCAGATAAGCCCTTTGTTGTTAATATCTGCTTACCCCACCAAACTTAATGGCAAGGTGTTCTGGACTGGCTTTGTTCTGGGAGAGTGAACCAGTGTTTTATGTTGAAAGTTTGAGGACAATACAGAGTTGAAGAAACTGCCCTCTGCTCTCTCATGGGCCTGAATGACAACCTCCACTATTCAGACAGCCTGCTTCTTGAATGGTTCATTCAGATGTTCAGACATCCTTTCAGTTTGACATTTTCCTTTCTTCTTGCAGGGACTAAAGCCTGTGGTTTCCACAGAAGCAGCACCTATCATATTTGCCACACCAACTAAACTGACCTCTGATTCTGCATATGATTATGCTGGGAGAAATAAAGTTCCAGAGCTGCAGAAGTTTTTCCAGGTGAGGGAAAATCCTTTGGAACAGAGAAGCCTATGAAACAAATGGGCTTAAAAACTTAAACCCCTTATGAAACTGTGTCTTAATCTAGCTCACTACCCACATTCCCAACTTTGCCTTAAATAGAATGGTCTTGATCTTAGTTTGATCCATAAACCAGAAGAACTCTATGTTGTTAGAAACTTATAAAAGAGGGTGGTTAATTTTCTTGGTGTTATTTAAGAGCAGGGAGCTCTGGTAGCGTAGCGCCAAAGGCATTGGACTGCTAACCAAAAGGCTGGCGTTCCAAACCCACCAGCCACTCCTCGGAAGGAAGATTGGGCAATCTACTTCCGTACAGATACTGCCTCGGAAACCCAAGGGGGGGGTGGGTTGCAGTGGGTCGGATCTGACTCGACGGCAGCGAGTTTGGTTTTGGTTTATTTAAGAGTATAGTTTTCAAATTGCATATATAACACTTGAGCATCCATTGGTGGAGGAAACAGTAGCATGTATAATGTCACTGAATAATTCAAAAGGTACATACCTATAAAATTTGGCTTTGTGATAGGTGTCACAACATTTGGTAGGAAGTTTTCTTCTGTTTTTTGCTTGCTTGATACTAAAATTCACTGAGCTATCCAGAAGAGGCTCAGCTTGTTTATTCAATCCGTTTTTATCTGGTAAGACTCCAGAGGACAATTGGGGCCTTAAGATGCAGTGGGCAAAGATTTAGGAGACTATAAAATAATGGATTAACTAACTTACAGAGTCTCATTATTAAACAGGAGTTTAACAGCTTAACAGAAAGAAGGCACTTGAATACAAAATGGACTTGAACCTATTAATTGACCTGGTGTGCTCAGACTTCATCTATTTATGATCAGAAGTTAAACTCAATGTCGGGCTAAAGGTAGCGCACTTCTTGTATCTGTAGTCCTTTGCTCAGCTGCTGAGCACCTTTGCCTTTGAAAATTCACAGTGCTTCTTTCCTAGTTAAGCAATATGTAATCAATTCCTTAGATACTCGGGTTTTGTTGCATGTGTGTTCCCTGGGGCTTCGTTTTGGAATGGCATTGGATTTACAAGCTTTAGCTTCATTTATAGGGAAATATACCAGCATTCAGTTAGTGTTCTGATGGATTAGGGCTTTTCTCTCTGCAATATATTGAGGGATTAACAAAGTAGAGAAATTTATTCTTTATTAGCCTGATAATTCTAAAATTTTTTCTTGGAAATGGTACCAACTGTGTCCATGTTAATTCTTCCTTCAAGAAATCCGATGGTGTGCCTGTCCACCTGAAACGCGGCCTGCCTGACCAAATGCTTTACCGGACCACCATGGCGCTGACACTGGGAGGGACCATCTACTGCCTGATCGCCCTCTACATGGCTTCACAGCCCCGGAACAAATGAGCTAGGCTGCAGAGGACTGGTTTGCTTTTTGGCATAAATCCTTTGAATTTTTATTTTTCATTGTTTCTGATAATTTCTTTTTGTTTTGTTTACATGGATGGACTACCTAACATTTTTGTAAGAAAAATGGCAAGATAATGAAAATATTTTAGTTTGTGTATAAAATGCATATGGCCTGTCAGAACTCATCTGACTGTTAAAACTATTGTTTAAACAAATGATGCTGCTCTCTGCATTTGAGTCCCTGATTTCCCTGGAGGTGCCAGATAAAGATTGCACATGGGCTGCATTAATGACAGTCTGTGCCAAGGTTGTGTTTTAGAGCATGGAGTGCAGAAGCTTTTTGGATTTGGATGTGACTGAGGAAGAAGGACAGAAGCCAAGGCCTGGTGCATGAAATGAGGAGTGTGAGTTAGTAGCCACCTTGGGGATTTTCCCATCTTGCAGTACAATATTAATGGAAATTACTTGCAATTATTATCCTCTATTCATGGGCAGTTTGTTTCAAAGGGTTATTTGCCTCATCTCAGATCTTATTGAAATTTCCTGTGTCATTATTATGTATTTATTCCACCATGGGAACAGAGAACACCTGTGTAGTGTTGCACTTTAGACTGAGGTCTGTTGTATTAATGCAGCTATACCACACATTCTCCTTTAACTATTAAAAGATGTTATGGCTTTAAATTATCATTTATTTGGGCTGTGGAATAAATACAGGAATGAAAAATTTAGAGTTTGAAGTTCTCTTAAATAACCTTTCAGAATAATTTCAGAACACTAGAGGCATCTTATACCTAAGTATAATTTATTTATTTATTTTTTAAATTAGGCACCAGATAATCTTTACAAAACGGTTCCTCAAAGTCAGGTAATGGGAGGCTAATGGCATATTGCTGATTACCATGTGGATCCTTGTAAGAAACCTGCTTGCCCCTCAGTGAAATGTGCCTATAACACACAGTTCATTTAGATGTTAATTTCCTTTGCTGTCACAATTGGTGGACTTTACTTACACCTATATTAATGCTGAAAAAGGTGGAATTTTATTATCTATAAAGTGGTGGTCTATGTCCTGCCATGGCAAGGAACAGTGACCTCTCACTGAGGTTAGAATACGATGTTTGAAAATACCTAGTAGCACTATTTGTAGCCATTATTTATCTGTTCAAGTCTAAACTTTGGTATTTCCCACAAGTTTTTGTTTTGAAAAATTTCAGACTACAGAAAGGTAGCATGAGTAGTATAATATATACGTCTGTATCACCTTCATGTAAATCACCAGTTACCAGCATATTGCTATCTTTGCTTTTTCTTGCTTTCTCACATAATGTACGTGTACCCACATACATTTGGTTTTAGCTGAATCATTTAAGATTAAACTATGGATTATAAAAATTCAGCCATAAATACTGTAGCAAGTTTGTCCTAAGAATAAGGACATTCTCCTATATAACCAGAATACATTTATCATAATATACATAACATTGATAGCAGTACTAAGATGTAGTCTATATTCAGATTCCCCCAAGTGTCCCAATAATGTGTTCTTTATAGCTATTTTTTAAAATAATAGCTTTATTGAGATACAATTTGCATACCACACCAAAAAAAACCCAAAGTCACTGCCGTTGAGTCGATTCTTACTCATAGTGACCTCCATTGGGTTTCCAAGGCTGTAAATCTTTATGGAAATAGATAACTCCATATTCCTTCTGTGGAGCGGCTGGTGGGTTTGAACTGCTGACCTGGTTAGCACGCAAGTGCCTTATCCACTATGCCACCAGAGTTCCATAGCATACCATGCAGTTCACCTATTTAATATGTGCAATTTAGTGGTTTTTACTGTAGTCACAGAGTTGTGCAACCATCACACAATCAATGTTAGAACATTTTTGTCACCCCAAAAAGAAACCCGATAGCCATTGGCAATTACTTCTGCACCCTTGCCATCCAGCCCTAGGCAATTACTTTCTGTTTCTATGGATTTACATATTCTGGACATTTCACATAAATGAAATCATATAGTATATAATCTTTTGCAGTGGCATCACTCTGGTCACTGTGATCCAGTGCAGTAACTCATGATGTTTGCTGGGGTGTGCGAGGCCACTTTGAACTCCCTCCATGGGTAGAGCAGCCAGGCCCTGCTCCGCGCAGCTCCCTGCAGCTCCTACGCTCTCCCATTGGCCAAAGCGAAGACCCTTCTCTCCCTCTGGTGGTGGGTGATGGGAAGGGAAGATGACAAGTTACCATACCGAGTGACATCAGCCCTAGTGACTGGCAGGTGATGGTGGTGGTGACGAGTTACTGCACAGGGTGACAGGTGACATAAACCCTAGTGATGCCACTGCCTTGACAGCATCTCCCCTGTCAGTGTCAGTTCACCTGCTGCTACTGCCGCTGCTACTGCAACAGACCCTGGGGTCATTTTGTGTCGCCCCCTCTGATGGTGTCAGAGGTGCAGTCTGCACCCCCTGTACCCCCTCATGACACCACTGATCTTTTGTAACTGACTTCTCTTGCTTAGCATGTTTTTGAAGTTCATTCACATTGTAGGATATATCAGAACTTCATTTCTTTTCATGGCTGAATAATATTCCATTGTTTAGGTATACTTGGAGTCCCTGGATGGTACAAATGGTTGTGTGCTTAGTTATTAGTCAAAAGGTTGGTGGTCTGAATTCACCTAGAGGTGCCTTAAGAAAGCTCTGGTGATCTACTTCCAAAAATCACATCCATTGAAAACTCCATAGAGAGTTCAGTTGTACTCTGACACACGAGTTGGAACTGACTTGATGGCAGCTCATATGGATATGTCACATATTGTTTATTCATCAGTTTATGGACATTTGGGTTGTTTCCACTTTTTGGCTATTATGGATAATGCTACTATGATTGATGTACAAGTTTTTATGTAGACATATGTTTTGGTTACTTCTAGTGCTGCTCTAACAGAAATACCCAGAAATGGGATGGCTTTAACAAACAGAAGTTTATTCTCTTAGAGTTTGGAGGCTTTAAGTCCGAGTTCAAAGTGCCAGGCTCTAGGGTCTGGGTAAAAGCCCCTCAGCTTTGGGCTTCAGCTCTGTCTCCTGCTCCTGGCCCACTGAAGCTGGAGGCTTTTCTTCAGTCAGCTGCTGGCTGCTGATGCTGACAAACCCAAGGTCGACAAGTAAAAAGGCACCGTCCTGGATTGCCAAACCACACGGCAGGTCACTGATTCAAGTCCATTAAGAGTCCCAAGATCAGCAGACAACATGGCAGACTGCTGAATAATGACTTGGCTACATGCAGGATTCAAGCATGCCAAAAGCTGGAGACCATCGTCAAAGTTGTTTACATACAGGAAGCAGACCACATCCCTAGAGCAGCCACTCAGCTGCTCCAGTAGATTCCACCATGGAGTTGATTACCAGTCTTACCATGGGGAATAACTACATCTAGCTGTCTAGCCACTCAGTCAGGGCTAGCCAAGTTGACACATAACCTTAACTACCACAATGTATATTTTCATTTCTCTTGGGTATATACCTAGGAGTGGAATTGCTGGGTCAGCCTAACCACATGTTTAACTTTTTGAGAAACTCAGACTGCTCAAATCAGTGGTATCAGTTTTACATTTCTACCAGCAGTTGAGTTTTTTTATTTTTATTTTTATTTTGGGTCCAGGATCCAGTCACGGATCACACTTTGCATTTAGTTGTAGTGTCATCTCGTCTCCTTTTATCCAGAAAAGGCCCTGAAGTCCTTATGATATTGACCTATTTGAAGAGTCCAGGCCAGTTATTTTGCAGAATATCCCTTAATTTCAGTATGACTGATTATCTCCTTATGATTGGATTCAGGTTAAATATGTCTGTGGTTTTTATTTTCATAGGTGATATGGTATCCTTATGTCAGGTGGCACTTGATGCCATTTTGTCCCATTACTGGTGGGAAATTGGGTCACTTAGTTAAGATTAAGAAATTGGTGACCAGATTTCTCCTTTGTAAAGATACCCCTTTGTAATTAATTATTAAGGAAACTGGGGAGTGACTATCCCATCCCCTACAGATTTACACCCAATGTTAGTATTCATTCTTGACTGAGCCAGTTATTTCAAAGGATGTTGTCATTTTCTGTTCTATCATTCATGCTATATTTAATTATTGACATTTTTCTGTGAAAATGAGCACCCTCATTTAAAGTCACTGTGTATGTGTATAACTCTCTCTGTCATTATTCATTATGATGCTCAAATTCACCACGAATTTGGCTCCTGTGGCCCTGTTGTCACATCCCTATTAAGTCTTTGTGTTGTTTCTTACATTGAGGCACACAGATGCTTTCCATGAATCCTTTGCTTCCTTCCAGACACTTCATTAGTGGTCAAGACCACACCCTCTCAATGGCAGCAATCCAAAGATAAGTCATTCCCTTGCCCTGCATAAGCACTGTGATTATGTTTAAGGAAACCCCTTTTAAAATGATTTTGAAGGTGCTTTTCAGGCTGCCTCTCAATCTCTTAGGGTCAGGAGCCCATATAGTTGAGATAGTCTTGGTATTGAGGGATTCTGCTGCTATTCTTACCTGCCCTCATCTGTGTGACTGGTGGGGTTGGGTGCTGTAGAGCAGGCTGCCTGGGGTAGGGGAAGCTGGCTCTAGCTTCTGTTCTGGGAAGTTCCTGTTGCCCTTGGACAGTAGCAGGCTAGCACCTGTGGTTTCAAGGGCGGTGTCAGTTGACCCCTGCTCTCACTGCATGAGCTTGAGCAGTTGGTGTGGCTCAGCCACACCTGAGGCTGCAGGTCATTTGCCATCTCCTCTGTGGTCAGTACTTGGCACTTGCAGAGCCTTGAATCATGGAAATCCTGAGCTTTGTTTGGCTCCCAGGTGCCGCAGGGCACTACAGGGTGTGTTGGGCAGTGGTTAAGCTGATTGCTCAGGGCATTGAGTCTGTTGGAGCTGATTCCAAGGGAGCTGCTGCAAAATACTAATGGAAAATGGCACAAGTGAAGAG